TTTTTGCTATAGGGCGCGTGTGCTCGCCAGACAGAGACAGAGAGACAGAAAGTGAGAAATCAGCCCCCAGGGGGGATGGCCATGCCGCAATCCCTTCTCCATTCTTCTCTTGGGATCTTGGGCATGCACGCACATGCACCTGGTGTGTTTTTTAAGCAACCGGGTCCGGGACTCGATCCGCGGTCGACTACGTGGGAGTCCAGCGACATAGCCATTACGCTAACTGCTGGTCCCACGGCTTTGTGTTTTCAGACAGATGGAAATAATGCTTAACCTGCAAGTAGGAATGTGTAAGACACCAAACACTCCCTAACTACATTTTTGTGTAATTCAGAAAGGCAAAGTTCCAGTTGGGACAGAAAAAGCCGTCATCAAAACCCTGGGTTCTCTGCAATGAGAGAATTAATTACTCACCATTCTGCAGTTCAAGGTAGACCGCCAGCAAGATGGCCTCGGGGGGCACCTCTTTAGGGTGAATCATTGAAGCAGCCTGTGGTCAAGAAAGAAAGACACCCATGAAAAGCCAATTCCAAGTAATGCCAAAAAGAATACAAATAATAATAATAAAAAAGCTAACCAACAGGTAGCAAACTTATCCACGTTCGTTCTCAGGTAACTTGCTCGAGACTACCGACTGCCCTGCTGCGGTGTCCCTCAACTGCCTGTGTCTTGAACCCCATCGACTAGGTTAGGCCTGCTTTCTGATTCAGCGTTACTTCCCCTTATCTAAGTGTTTTTTAGTTTTTGCTACAGGACGTGTGCGCTGGCCAGAGATACAGATGGGGGTGGGCAGAAAGTGAAAAATCACTCCCCAGCGGGAAAGGCCACACCACAATCCCTTCTCCTTCACTCTCTTCTTGGGACGCCAGACACACAAACCCATGTGCCTGGCATGATTTTCAAGGCACTGGGTCTGGAACTCAAATTGCACCGCTGGCCACGTGGGATCCAGCACACCCCAATGCCACACCATCTGCTGCGTGTGCCCCCAAGAGCCCCGAGAGCATGGGGAAGGGACTGTGACGTGGCCGTCTCTTCTAGGGGTTGCTCACTTTCCCTCTCTGTCTCCAGCAAGCACAAGCACACTATGGAAAAAGCCTAAGTAAAACCCGACGCATTGTGACCACAGGGTATGGGGATAAGACAGAGACTTCCAGACCAGCAGGAGGCATGGTGGTTGAGGTGCTGGACTGCTGCATAGCTGACTGTGGTTCAAGTCCCAGACCTGGTGGCTTGTATATCCTGCCGGATGTGTGTGTGTGTGTGTGTGTGTGTGTGTGTGTGTGCGCGCGCGCGCCCAAAATCCTGAGAAGAGAATGGACGAAAAGGGATTGTGGCGTGGCCTTCCTTCTAGGGGGTGACTTCTCACTTTCCCTCTCACTCGCTCTCTGGTGATGCCCTATGGCAAAAACCTTTAGGAAAAAAATAAAAAAAGAAAGAAAACTGACAAGGACTTCCCTTGCCAATAAACAAGCATGCACATAACTAACAATGACTCAAACAAACTGACCCACATGCCAGGGAGGGGTGCACGTGAATGTGCTGTGAAGAGGGAGAAAAGTAAGTGTCTTTAGAATAAAGAGCCGTAGATATCTGACAGGAAGAAAACAGGGGAGGTGGCGTTTGAGGCCCAGGCTTGAATGTGGGAGATGCCTGCGGGCCCAGGAGCTTGTCCTAGGTCAGCTGCGGGCAGGAGAAATAGCAAACTAGTGCAGAATCTGCTCCAGAGGACGTGCTTCCAGAACGTTCCTCCTGAGTGCGGAGGGGAGGCTTTCATTTATCTCACGGAGTCACTGGGGTATAACCACACCATTTTTTTTTTTTTTTGAGAGATTTTCACTATAGGGCGTGTGCACTCGCCAGACAGAGAGAGACATAGAGACAGAAAGCAAGAAATCACCCCCCAGGGGGGATGGTCACGCCACAATCCCTTCTCCTCCATTCTCCTCTCGGGATCTTGGGCACGCACGCACACGCGCCCGGCGTGAGTTTAAGCCACCGGGTCCGGGACACGAACCGCGGTCGACTACGTGGGAGTCCAGCGACATAGCCATTACGCTAACTGCTGGTTCCCATAACCACTCCATTTTGAAAATGAGATTTCACACTTCTAGGCCTGGCATCCTATACACAAGAGTATCTTTACACCATTTTAAAAAATAATTATTTTATTTTATTTTATTTATTAATTATTTTTTAATGTGAACAGAGAGAGACAGAGGGTGAGAGTGAGAGAGAGAAAGTGAGAAAGCAAGCCACCAGATTCAGGACTTGAACCCTGGTCAGCCATGTGGAAGTGTCCAGCGCCTTAACCACCACGCCACCTGCTGGTCCCCGACACCATTTTATAGGTATTAAAAATACCTGTTTTCTCTTGTGGCCAGTAGGTGGCCTGGTGGTTGAGGCGCTGGACGCCCACATGGTAACCATGTTTCAAGTTCTTGACTTGGCCGCTTGCTTTTTCACTTCCCTTTTCACTTCCCCTCTCCCTCTCCATATCTCTCTCTTGTCAGATTAAAAAACAATAATAAAGGGACCAGCGGGGGGGCGTGTCTCGGATCTGGTGGGGAGTCCTTCTCTCTCTGTCAAATTAAAAATAAATGAATAAATAAATAAAATTAAATAATTATTTTAAAAAGATAATCCTAACATTTAAATTATCTCTTTTCTGGGGGCCGGCAGGTGGCATGGTGGTTAAGGATGCTGGGTTTCCACACTGCCGACTGCGGTTCGAGTCCTGGACCTGGCAGTGCGCTTTCTCCCTTTCCCTCTCTCTCTGGTCAAATTAAAATAGAAAACCTATTTTCTCCCCAAGTAGCCAGTAAATTGCGTTTTACATAGACTACAGTCTGCAACGTTTTTCTAAAGGCATCGTCTGTATGAGACTGAATGGCGTTTTGCTTCCTGGCTGTCAGAACAGGCCGCGGAAGGCAGCAACCTCGGAAACATGTCCTTGGAGCCCTTTCCAGCCCTTCCCAGCATTGTTCTGCCCTCCCAGGCAGGGTGGGCCTCCCAATTAACAAAGGCCCAGCCATTGGATTAACCTAAAAACCAAGGGACCAAAACAAAACCCCCTTCAGTCCCCGATCCAGGCCTGACCCCATCTGCCTCTCCAGCGTGGCCTGGCCGTGGCCACCTGCTGCATGAGAGCCCGGCCGGAGTGTGGGCTGCACCTTCCACCAGGGGTCTGTGTGCTGCGGGACTGAGGCCGGGGGCACTCTAGGCGGGGCTGATAAGCAGCTGAGCTTACCACTGAGGACAGCGCCACACCAGCTCGTGCACGCCGCTCCCTGGGCAGCCGCTCCCTGGGCAGCCCGCCGCTCGCTGTCCTCATTCTGGATCAGGAATGCTGACCAGATGCCACTACGTTGACTAAATACCACCTGCAGCTGTTTTCCACCTGGTAAAGCATCCTTTATTTTCTTAAAAATAGTTTATTTAACTTTATGTATTTATCTATTTATTTTAATTTAACCAGAGGAACGCAGGGAGAGAGAGAACGCCACCAGGTCTGGGACTCGAACTACAGTCAGCCACGTGGCAGACCAGTGTCCTTAACCACCAAGCTACCTGCCGGGCCCCCAAGCATCATCATTTCTAGGCACAAGGTCACCTGCATAGGCAGGAAGTTTCTGGAAGCCATGATCTCTGAATAGGTTTAACTTCAGTTTCATTCCTCAGGCAAAGGTAGGGATACGGGCTCTCTTATGAGCTGCTGTGAATGTACTGCTTACCAGACTGTCTACACCGCAAGTCCTAAACCTCATATTCCCTGTGGGAAAGTGCCTTCTACGTGTCCACAGGGCAACGCAGCATCACGGCTACTTTCTAACTGTCTTAACTTCTCACACGGGGTGTGTGCCTGCTGTGGGTGGGGTAGGGTCACACCCAGTTGGCCACTGACACCCAGCGCTCTAAACCACTAAACAAAGGGGCCGGTGCTGTCTGCTCATTCGGTCTTGTTCTCAGGGCTCTGCACAGAAGTATTCAATGCCTATATGCCAGATGAATGGGCTACCGTCTCCCCACTTTTTTAACTGCCAGTGAGTATATGAGCTCCCCAGAGAGAAGAGAAGAAAGCACCCCTCAACAGAGTGTGGCCCCATCACAATCCCGTTACCTTCATTTCTCCATCCTGTTGGAATTGGGGCAGGCATGTACACCTGCCCGGAATGTTTTTCTTTTTATTTTTTTGGAGATGTGTTTGCTATAGGGCACGTGCACTCGCCAGACAGACAGACAGACAGACAGAGAGAGAGAGACAGCGACCAGAATCCCTTCCCCTCCATTCTCTTCTGGGGATCTTGGGCACGCGCGCACACAGGCCCGGTGTGAGTTTAAGCCACCAGGTCCAGGACTTGAACCGTGGTCGGCTACACGGGAGTCCAGCAACATAGCCATTACACCAACTGCTGGTCCCCCGGCGTGTTTTTAAAGCCACCGCGGCCAGGATTCAAACTGTGGCTGGCCATGTCAGATCTGGCTCCCTTAACCACTAGGCTATAGGGTCAATCTTGTGCCTTTTTTTTAAATTGTTGATTATTTTCTCCATATGCATGACGGAGCACAAGTACACTCATGTGAGAGTGGGAGAGAGAAGAGCACCCCCACAGCGTCTGACCACTCTGACCTCTTCCATCAGATCCCGGGCACTCTCCTCTGTGCCTGTAAATTCCATGTTGACTGAGCTGGGGATTCGAACTGCAGTTGCCATGTGGACTCTGGGGTCTCCTGAGCAGCACATGATGCTGCACTACAGAGCCAGCCTGGACTAGTGCCCTTCTTCTAAATGTTTTTTTTTTTTTTTTTTTTAAGAGATTTTTGCTATAGGGTACATGTGCTTGATAGAGACAAAGAGAAAAAGAGATAGAAAGAGAGAAGTCATCCCCCAGGGGGGTGGCCATGCCACAATCCTTTCTCTTTCAATCTCCTCTTGGGATTTTGCATATGTACACATATGTGCCTAGGTCCTCTTGGGATTTTGCATATGTACACATATGCGCCTAGGATGAGTTTAAGCCACCGGGTCCGGGACTCGAACCACGGCCGACTATGTGGGAGTCCAGTAACATAACCATTACGCCATCTGCTGGTCCCTATTTTTTTTAAATTCATGATAGTCATGTACACATACGAGAAAGAGGCAGAGAGGGAGAGGGGACTACCCTCCATAGGCCTGAACACACTACAGTCCCCCTCCTCAGTCCAGTCCATCGAATCTTGGGACCCTGTGCATGCTGGCATGTCTCAGGCAAAGCAGGCCAGGATTCCAACTGCAACCCCGGCGGGGGGGGGTGTGTGGTTCTGGCTTCTTTTGAGCGGACCTGTTATTCCTGCTACGTCATGAGCCAGCCCTGGCTGTCCTTTAAAGGAACTGCACCTTTCAACTAGTAAAATCCCTCTGGGTCTGCCAATTACAGCGCCCAGTGCTTACCACGGGTATGGTTCTATGCCCGTGCTTAGTCCAGGGATGGGCAGGTGACCTAGAAAGGTCCAGTGGGGATCTTCCGCGAGGCCTGACGACGTGCCATGTAAGTGGGGGAGTTCAGAGGTTAAGTGCACACCCGCAGGAGCTTTCTCCAGTGTGTGGAGCTTCTGTGGAGTGAGCTTTCTGAACCCTGACCTTCTCAAAGGTATACTGGTAGCTAACTTTTAGAATACAGATTCACACAATGGAAATCAAAAGGCGTATACAGCGGAGAGGCTCTTGTCCCAGGTCTCCAGCTGTGCTGTACCCATCCGGCCACCCGCAACCAGTGTCAGCAGGTGCTGGCTGTCCTTTTGGAGATCTTTCTCACACATACAGGACTGTGTAGACACGTTTTTTAAAACAATTGTTTGAGGCCAGCAGGGAGGTACAGTAGTTATATCGTGGACTCCCACATGGCCAACCACAGCATGAGTCCCGGACCCAGTGGCTTGAAACGTCATGCCGTGTGTGTGTGTGTACACGCACACGCCCCCAAGGTCATGAGAGAATGGTGGAGAAGGGATTGCGGCATGGCCATTCCCCCGGGGGATGATTTCTCATTTTCCCTCTCACTGCCTGTTCTCTCTGGCGAGCACCATAAGGAAAAAAGCCTCCATAAAGAAAAACAAAAAAAGAATGATTTATTTAACTTCATGTGTTGTCATTATGTACCCCAACTACACCACCTGCTGGGCCTAGAGACAGTTCCCGTGCTCCTTCGCTTAGCACGCCTTCGACGCCCTGTCTCAGCACGGTACGGCGGCGCCGTGCTCCACCGCACGCACGCCGCGCCGTGTTGATGCGGTTTCTTACTCAGACAGTTCTCAATCTGGTTTTTTTTTTTGTTTAAGAGTTTTTTGGCCTCTTTTGACCATTCCCCCTGCAGGGGGGCGTCTCAAGCCTTTTGCTGGCCGCTTTGCACGCAGGGTCGGACCCTCCCGTGCTGGCCTCACCTGGTGGAGACATTTCCGGGCTTTGTCGTACTCGCTCCTGAGGCAGTAGGCACTGCCCAGGTTGAACAGCATGACGGTCCTGGCCGAGGTGACGGAACTGGGGTAGCACTGAGGGGCTCGCTTCCCGGCTGGGGAGAAAGTGTAGACGCTGGTGAGGAGGCTGGGCTGAGAGCAGGGGAGCAACCCCGCCCGCCACCCTCAAGCAGCCATTTGGAATAAGGACGAGCAGAGCTGCTCTTCAGGCTGACAAAGGAAGGACACAGAAGATTGAAGAGTCTGGCTCTTAGGGACGCAGGCCAGGCTGCTGAAATATTTACAAAACCTCTTACTTACAGGATTCCATGGCCTCGTTTTCTCCTTTGTCTGATCCTACAAAGACATGAAAATAAATCTGAGGGGCAGGACGACGGAGCATAGTTTCTCAAAACTTTCTTTATAAGGTGGAATCTAATATAAAGCGATCTGTCACAATATTTACTCTCCCGAGTAGTGGAGATTCTATGAAAAGACACCAGACACCACCCCAGCCGCCTGAGAGCAAACCCTGAATCAAGTGAAAACCACAGTTTCACTTCCTCAGAAACTGAGCCGTGATTCAAACTGACTCGTGAGGCCCAGCCTGACGCTGCAGCCGGGAGTAAACGGAACTGCGGTGCTGGAAGCCACAGGGCCAGCCGCAGGTTGGGATCTCTGAGGTGGCCTGAGAACACGCCAGGTATGTGCACGTGGGCCCAGGAACCTGCCACGCTGGAGGAAAGGGGATCGCATGCACCATGACGAGACCCCAACCGGGGGGATTCTCATTCTCTCTCCTCCCTCTCATGCACACGCATGTGCTCTCTATCGTGAATAGAATAACCTTTAAAAGAAGATGTTTTGTGTGGGTCAGCAGGTGGCGTGGTGATTAAAGTGCTGGACTCCCACATGACCACCTGTGGTTTGAGTCCTGGCCCCAGTAGCTTGGAAGTGCACTTACCCTACGGCAAAAATCGAAAAAAAAAAAAAAAAATTTTTTTTTTTTTTTTTTTTTAAGATTTACCATAGGGAGTGTGTGCTCGCTGGGGGTGGAGAGAGAGACAGAAAGTGAGAAACCACCCTGGGGATGGCTATGCCACAATCCCTTCTCCATTCTCCTCTTGGGATCTTTGGCATGTATGCACATATACCCAGCGTGGTTTTTTTTAAGCTGTTGGGTCCGGGACTCAAATTGTGGTCAACTATGTGGGAGACCACTGAAGCAACCATTATGCCATCTGCTGGTCCCAAGACTCATTAATTTTTTTTTTTTTTTTTAGAGGTTTTTGCCTTAGTGTGCGTGCACTTGCCAGAGAGTGAGAGAGACAGAGACAGAGATGAAAAACGAGAAATCACCCTGCAGGGGGGGATGACCAATTCCTTCTTCTCCTTTCTCCTCTTAGGCTCTTCGCCATGAACGCAGACTCGCTCAGTGTGATTTTCAACTACTGGGTCCAGGACTCGAACCATGGCTGCCCGTGTGGGAGTCCAGCAACATAACCACTATGCCATCTGCTGAACCCCCTAGAGAATATATTTTAAAAAATAAATAGGGACTAGCAGATGGAGTAATGGTTATGTCGCTGGACTCCCACGTAGTCGACTGTAGTACCAGTCCTGGATCTGGTAGCTTGGAACTCACGTTGGAGGTGTATGCATGCGTGCTCGAAATCCTGAGAGGAGAATGGAGAAGGGATTATGGCGTGGCCATCCCCCAGGGGGGTGATTTCTCATTTTCTGTCTCTCTGGCAAGCACACGTCCCTGATAGCAAAAATCTCTCCCAAAAAATAAACGGAACTACTTTTGAATGAAATATTTTTACTCTCCCTTGGATTGTAGAATCACTTCAAAGAGAAAACTCAGTACCAGAACCCAAAGGAGCTGTGGTGGATACTCCGTCAGTCTTTCAAAAGCAAGAATTCAGGCCACATGGAACTCCTAGGGCTACTAACACAGGCACTACAATGGAGGCGCAGCCGAAACGCGTGGAAGGCCGACCTAGAACGTCCTGCCCTTCACGGCCATGCCCTGAGACTTCCGCGCGTCCTGAGTTACGACAGGAAGGAGGCAGAAGCGGTGGCCAGCTCTGATCAAGTGTGTTCGCATTAACCTTGGTCCTGCTCATTTGAAGAGATCCCTAAGGAGACATCGGTGACGTTCTCCGGGTTCAAGTGAGTAATGGCATCAGATATTCTGTCGAGGGAGATGAGCGCTTCTGCGGCGTATAAGTGGCCCAAAAACCTAAAACGAAGAAACCAGAGTCCGCGCTGAAAAGCAGGTCACCACGAAACACCCCACGGATAACGATACTTGGTTTATCATGGGACATACTGCGCATATGCTTCGCATCATGCCTGTCCTTGAGATGAGATAGAAATTTGCTTAGGTAAACTAGATTAACCAAAACAGTCACTTTAGAGTTTGCCTCTTAAAGAACGCATTAAGGTATACGATAACAATGTTCACATTAGCTAGTGAAACAAAGTGTGCATACTGAATTCAGAAAGCAGCTGGAAGGTGGCGTGGTGGTTAAAGGCTCTGGGTTCCCACATGGCTGACCGTGGTTTGAGTCTTAGACCTGGTGGCTTGCTTTCTTAGTTTCCCTCTCTCTGCCTCTCTCTGATCAAACTGGAAAATAATAATAATAAATACAGTTAAATAAAATAATTCTTAAAAAAAAAAAAAAAAAGCCTTAGATGTAACTCCTGCTCAAATGAGTTTTCCTGGAAGAGAACAAAACTAAACTTTCTCAGTTTAAAGCTCCCAATTTGGCACCCCTTCCCCACATGCAGCCGGTGTTCCCCACACACTGCTTCCCTGTGGCCCTGCCTTCGAGGGCTCAAAGTCCGGCTGGTCTGTATTCCCCCCATTTATTTTTTTTTTAAAGAATTATTTTAACTTTATTTATTTTTATTTTAATTTGACCAGAGAGGAACAGAGAGAGAGAGAGAGAGAGGGAAAGTGAGAAAGCAAGCTGCCAGGTCCAGGACTTGCACCGTGGTCAGCCATGTGGAAGTGTCCAGCACTTTAACCACCACACCACCTGCTAGTTCCCTAAAAACCTTTTTTTAACCAAATGAAATAGCTTCATGACATACAAAGTCGAAAAATCCTTGGCTTGGTGTAGAAAAAACAAGGAGAGGGCCGAAAGCTGCTGTGGTCTTTACAGACAGCCAAATGCAGAAAGACCTGCCTGCCCTCCCTGGGAAGATGACAGGTGGTCTTGTCATTAACTAAGAAACCAACGCGTACGATAACACGGTGAAAAGAACTACGAAAGAAATTTCCAGACGTGACTTGGCCAGTCTCTTAGAAGTTTGCTACAAAATCAGAGAATTTTGTTTGACTCAGAACAAAGTTGACAAATGATATATAAAGTCTTCAAGTGCCAGGTAAAGAATCTACTTTTGAGTTATTTGAGAATAATGATTATGATGATGACCAAAGGATTTAAAATACAATTAGGATTTGTTTTTCAATTTGTATTAAAAAAAAAAAAGGGCACTGTTCTTATAATGGACGTACACGCCCAGTCTGCACACTGAGCCTGGAGGTGGGGACGGCCGCAACTGCAGACTGAGGTATCTCAGAGCGGGGCAATGGTGAAGATGGGAGGCATTTAGAGGCAGCCAACTGCCCTGAACTGGAAATCAGGGTTCCCCTAGGCCAGGATCCTTTTTTTTTTTTTTTTTGAGAGGTTTTTGTTATAGGGCACATGCACTTGCCAGAAAGACAGAGAGACAGAAAGCGAGAAATCACCCCTCAGGGGGGATTGCCATGCCACAATCCCTTCTCCTTTCTCCCCTCGAGATCCTGGGCACACATGCACATGCGCCCAGCATGAGTTTTAAGCCACTGGGTCCGGGACTTGAACCGCAGTTGACTACATGGGAGTCCAGCGACGTAGCCATTAGGCTAACTGCTGGTCCCAGGCCTTAATTCCGAATAAGGTTTTCATAAGAATAGGAGGGCCCTGGACAGACTTCTTAATTACTTTTTCTTTTTTTAAAAAAGTTGTATTATTTAACTAAGCACTTTTTATTACTTAATTTGACCAGAGAAAGACACAGAGAGAGAGAGCGCGAGACAGAAAGAAAGTGAGAAAGCAAGCTGCCAGGTCCAGGACTCAAACCGCAGCCGGCCACGTGGAAGTCCAGTGTTTTTAACCACCATGCTATACCTACTGGCCCCAATGACTTTTTAAAACACAAATTATGTTTAGGGAACAATGGCCTAAAACAGCCTTAACTGATGTTAACTTCAGGTGTTTTATGAGGTAATCGATTCTTCTCCAAGGCAAAAAATGCAGTATTTACAGGGGGCTGGCCTTGGAGCAAGACAGTTAAGCGACCTATATCCCACACAGCCAACCACGGTTTGAGTCCTGGCCCCGGGGGCTTGAGGGCGCATGCTGGGCCTGTATGCGACGTGCCCAGAATCCTCAGGGGGTGGAGAGACGGAGCAAAGAGGAACTGTGGCATGACCATGCCCCAGTGGGGCTTGTCCTCTTGCTGGCACACATACCCTCTGCCAACAGAATACAGACAGACAGACAGACAGACAGATGGACGGAGGGAGGGAGGGAGGGAGATATTTATAGCATTAATTCTCAGAGAATGACCTCACAGTGGTAAATTCTGCACACAGTAAACTACTAAAAGGCAAAAGAGCAAATAGTTGCGTTTTGAGTTTGTTAGTAATGATATATACCCACAGGATGAATAAACACAAAACAAAAACTGTCTCAAGTTATACAGACTACTGTGGCTTTGGATAAAATGTCCAAAAATCAACGTCACGCAAAAATTCAAAGCACGTTGCATTTTAGCCTTGAAATTTCAAAAGAAATGATGCACTTTGGAACATTTTAGGATGAAAGTGACATTGATATTGAAGAGGCACCTGAAGAGTGAATGAAACCGTCTAATGAAACGGTACAGTAGCATGGGAAAATGGTTTCAAATGGTCTATTTATTTGTTTTTATTTTAAAATTTTGGGGAAATTTTGCTACAGGACACGTGTGCTCACCAGAGAGAAAGCAAGCAAGCAAGCACTCCCTTCTCCCTCTCCGAATCCTGGTCACGCACGCACATGAGCCCAGTATAATTTTCAAGCCATCAGGTCCAGGACCCGAACTACACAGTCGGCCACGTGAGATCCAGCTGCCTTAACCACATCATCACCGGCTGACCCAAAATTCTTGTCTATTTAAATTGCATTCTTTGAAACAGATTTATCATGCGGACCAGATTCGTCTGTTTGTGGTTCTTCTCTCTGAGTAATCGCCTTATCAGGCCAGCCACTGGCGTGGTGGTGAAGGCGGCTGGGTCCCATACGGCTGGGTGAGTGTTTCATGTCCCAGATTGTTAACAACACAAAAACAGAACCACCTTATCTGGAGATACAGTGCTCCCGTCAGATACAGCACCGCAGGACTCAGGTGTGTCTCCTGTACACTCAGAACGGCAGACACCATACCACTGACCTCTGAGCCACAGCAAGGGACACAATGCCTACTGCCAAGACATGCTTAAGGAACACTGAAGCCAGCTGCTTTCCCCCAAATATATATCCCACTGGGGGAATGAAAAGCACCACGCACCACAAACCGACGGGAAACCGCCAAACAAAACGCGGCGGGGATGCGGGCCCGGTCCACTTACTTCAGAGATCCTGACAGCTTGGGCTGCTGAAGAAGTTTATCTGCGTGATTCAAAGCCATGAGGTTATCACCCAAAGCCAGAGCCACATATGCACTGCAAGCGAGAATGGAGCACCTAGAACAGAGAAGGTCAATTCAAATATAAGTAAGTAAGTTTAAATAAAAAAGAATTGTTATTAAAAAAAAAAAAAAAAAAAAAGAACAGAGAAGGGAAGAACCAAGACCCGAGTCAGAGAACTGACAGTGAGTGCATCTGCTAAATAGGAAAGTACGCCCTAGTCACAGCTATGATGATCCAGATGCCAGGGAAAAGGAACAGAAGCCACGACACTGTGTTGAGAATTAAAATGATGAGCGGGGCCGGCAGCTGGCGTGGTGGTTAAGGGCACTGGACTTCCACACGGCCGATCGCGGTGCGGATCGAGTCCCAGACCTGGTAGTTTGCTTTCTCGCTTTCTCTGTGTCCCTCTCTGATCAAATTGATAGTAAATAAATTAATTGAATTGAATTTAAAAATTCTTTAAAAAATTATGGATTAAAATGATGGGGACCAGTAGATGGCATAATGGTTAGGTTGCTGGACTCCTACATAGTCGACTGTGGTTCGAGTCCTGGACCTGGTGGCTTCAAACTCATACTGGGCACGTGTGTGTGTGTGTGTGTGTGTGCCCAAAATCCTGAGAGGAGAATACAGAAGGAATTGTGGCGTGGCCATCCCCTTGGGGGGGTCTTGCTTTCTGTCTCTGGCAAGTGCAGGCGTCTTGTATTTAAAAAAAAAAAAAAAAAAAAAACTTCCCTTAAAAAAAAAAAAAAGAATTAAAATGATGTATAAAACTACCATCTGAAGCACAGTTTAGCCATCTACCTAAGTCATCTTTAGCTTCTATCCAATTAACCCTTGTGCCCAAGAAAATAACCAAACGAAGTTATATCTTTAGACTGTACAAAATGTTGCAATTAATGGCCTAAAGAGAAGCTCACTTTCACAAAAAAAACATTTTTTAGAGGTTTTTGCCATAGGGTGTGTATGCTTGCTAGAAAGAGAGACAGAGACAGGGAGAATCCACCCCAAGGGGGGATGGCCAAGCCACAATCCCTCCTTCTGGGATCTTGGGCATGCGTACACATGCGTTTTGCATGATTTTCAAGTCACTGGGTCCAGGACTCAAACAGCAATCAGCCCCGTGGGGGTCCAGCAATGTAACCACTAAGCCATCTGCTCATAGAACCTTCTTTCAAAGTTTACTTAAGGCCTGGGGAACCAGCAGTTAGCGTAATGGCTATGTCGCTGGACTCCCACGTAGTCGACCGCGGTTCGTGTCCCGGACCCGGTGGCTTAAAACTCACGCCGGGCGCGTGTGCGTGTGTGCCCAAGATCCCGAGAGGAGAATGGAGGAGAAGGGATTGCGGCGTGACCATCCCCCCTGGGGGGTGATTTCTCACTTTCTGTCTCTATGTCTCTCTCTGTATGTCTGGCGAGCGCACGTGCCCTACAGTGAAAATCTCTCCAAAAAAAAAAAAAAAAGTTTACTTAAGGCCTGGAGCCAGCAGGTGATGTGGTGGTTAGGGTGTTCCACACTCCCACATGCCCAGCTGTGATTTGAGTCCCGGACCTGGTGGCTTGAAACTCACGCTGGGCACATACACGTGCACCCACGATCCCGGGAGGAAAAGTGAATGTGCTGTGTCCCTCCCCTCCCCGCCGACCAGGGGGTGACTTCTCACTTTCTCTTTGTCTCTGGCAAGTGGGCATGCCTTGTAGCAAAGATATCTATTAAAAAAAATTTTTTTTTTTAATTTCTGGCCAGCCAGGAGGCATGGTAGTTACGACACTAGATCCCACATTGCTGACTGCGCTGTTCAAGTCCCGGACCCAGCAGCTTGCAAAGTGCTGGGCGGATGTGTGTGCGTGCGGAAAATCCCAAGAGAGGAGCAGACAAGAAGGGACTGTGGAGTGGCCATTCCCCCTTGGGGGTGTTTTCTCACTTTCTATCTCTAACTCTGGCATGCACATGTGCCCTACAGCAACTAAAAACAAAAAACGCTTACTTATTTCTTCTATGAGAGAGGCACCCCAAAGGGCCCTCCTGCCACAGCCCTCCTCCAGCCTCAGTCAGTCACAGGTACATGAGCACATGTGCATCTGACGTACTCAGGGAGCCACCAGGACGCAGACCCGGGACCCTTTCTCACGTGGGTCCAGCTGTTACCTCTGTCCCACTGCCTGGCCCCAGAGAATATTTCTGCTTTTTCTTTCTTTTTTTTTTAAAGAATTATTTTTATTTAACTTTATTTATTTTTAATTTGACCAGAGAGGGACAGAATTGAGAAAAAGAGAGAGAGAGGGAAAGTGAGAAAGCAAGCCACCAGGTCCTGGACTTGAACTATGGTCGACCACGTGGGAGTCCAGCACCTTAACCACCACACCGTCTGCCGGTCCCCTGCTTTTTCGTTTTTAGTTTTTGCTGTAGGGCAAAAACAGCCCCCTCCCTCCCACAGTGATTTCTCACTTTCTGTCTCACTGTCTCCCTCCAGCTCCTATGGCAAAAACCTCGAGAAAAACAAAAACAAAAACCCTAAAGGACAAAAAAAACGTGTCAAATAGAAATAAGGTTTAGGGGCCAGCTGGTGGTGTGGTGGTTAAAGGCACTGTACTTCCACATGGCTGACCAGGGTTTGAGTCCTGGACTTGGCTGGCTTGCTTCCTCACTGTTCCCCTCACCGCCCCCCACCAGCTGTTTCTCTCTGGTCAAACTGGAAAATAATAGTAATAGTAATAATAATAAAAAATAAAGGCTGGTAGGTGGTGTGGTGGTTAGGAATGCTGGACTCCTACATGGCTGACCATGGTTTGAGTCCTGGACCTGGTGAGCTGCTTTCTCTCTCTCTCTCTGTCCCTCTCTGGTCAAATTAAAATAAACAAACAAACAAATAGATAAATAAAATAAAGTTAAAGCTAATTCTTTAAAAATAAATAAAGTAGGACCAGCAGGTGGCGTGGTGGTTAAGGTGCTGGACACTCCCACATGGCTGACCACGGTTCAAGTCCTGGACCTGGTGGTTTTCTTTCTCACTTTCTCTCTCTCTCTCTCTCTGGTCAAATTAAAATGAATGAATGAATGAATAAAATAAAATAAAATAAATCTTTAAATAATAAAATAAAAATAAATTAATCTAAATAAAAAATAATTTTTATTTTTTTGGAGAGGTTTTTGCTATAGAGCGTGTGCACTTGCCAGAAAGACAGAGAGAGACAGAGAGATAGAAAGCGAGAAATCACCCCCCATGGGGGATGGCTACACCACAATCCCTTCTCCTCCATTCTCCTCTTGGGATCTTGGGCACGCACACACACACGCCCGGTATGAGTTTAAGCCACCAGGTTCGGGGCTCGAACTACGGTCAACTACATGGGAATCCAGTGACATAGCCATTAGGCTAACTGCTGGTCCCAAAAATAATTCTTAAAAAGAAAAAAAAAAAAAGAAGTTAGTAGAGCTGATCATAAATGACCCGACTAGATGCAGCATTCTGAGTTACAGTTACAAATGATAATCCCCATACAGATCATCGCATGCTTTCAGGGTGTGATTTCAGTTTAAGGAAGAGAGTGACCATCACGTCACCACAAGGGTCACCGTGCTCCGAAGCCCTCTGACTCGAAGTGGCCCTTGCGAAGAAGACACACAGGTGGCAATCCACAAGTTGCCTGTGGTTACCCCTCACTTCCTCATCCTGGTTGCTAGAATCTTAGAAAATGATCCATTTAAGGAAAAGTCACCCCTCAACGAACACCCTGAAACGTAGGCAGACTGAGATAAGGCCCTAGGAATCTGGGGTTTACGGCCACCATGGCAGGGCGGAAGGACAGTCTGACGCAGCTCTGTGCCGTCACTGTACAGTCCGAGATTTTAAGTGGCTAACGTAGTCTCTAGGCCATGGCATGTGATATTCAACCCTGCAGACTCCGAATCCACTGTTTTTCCCGTCCAATCGTTTTGCTCCTGTATCAGCTCACAAGCCTACCCTAAAACTAAAGCACCGAAGCAGATTACATTACGCTGGCTTCCAAGCTCCAGGCGAATATAATGCAGGTGCCCTGTGGTTATGCACAGCCATGGCTGGAGTCCTGGGGCGCACTGCTGGAAGCCACACGGCTGACTGCAGGTTGGCCTGAGGATACGTCGGGAGTGGGAGGGACCGCAGGGACCCACTGGCCTCAGGAGCTGGAGGGCTGGGGACAGGGGTTGACGATCTGAGGATACCCTGCCCTGCCGAGGGTGGTTCTCTCTCATCATACGCATGCACACATGCTGTCATGAAAAATATATGCATAAGGGACCAGCAGTTGGCGTAATGGCTGTCGCTGAACTCCCATGTAGTTGAGTGTGGTTTGAGCCCCGGACCTGGTGGCTTAAACTCATGCCAGGCACGTGTGCATGTGTGCCCAAGGAGAATGGAGGAGAAGGGATTGCGGCGTGGTCATCCCCCCTGGGGGGGGGAGTTCTCGCTTTCTCTCTGTCTCTCTTTCTGGTGAGTACACGTGCCCTACAGCAAAAACCTCTCCGAAAAAAAATAAAAAAATAAAATAAAATAAAGCCCACAAAATTTTATCTAAACACTACAAGTTTATATTTTGTTTCTGAGTATATAATTTTGAATTATATACTGCTCATAGAGAGAAACAATCTGAGAGTAGGCCAACGGGGCCACTTCCAAAGACAAATCTATAGTCAATATCCCTGGCTCTCGAAGAGCTGGGTTTGCCAAGGATGTCCCTGTCATGGCCACAGTCTCTCAGGGGAGCCTTCCTGACGGAAGACTCTGAAAACCAGAGAAGGGAGGCCTTGGAGTTCTCTCCCATCTTCAGAAGCATGTTAGTGATGAGCCCCGTGCAGTGACAATAGGTGACCAAATTTCTTCTTTTGGCCTATTTGTAGTTTTTATATAAAATGATAATGGCATTTCTTCACTCAAAATGCACAAGGGTTGGGTGCCAGCAGGTGGCATGAGAGTTAAGGGCACTGGACTCTCACACGGTTGACCACAGTTCGAGTCCCGGATCTGGGCAGCTTGCTTTCTCTGTCTTTGACTCTGTCCCTTTCTGGTCAAACA